GGATTATGCAATCAGGCGCTGGCACATTTCAGTAGAACATGTTGGGTCATGCACTTAGACTTTCTCGGATAACAGCCTCCTTTACAGAGTTTGGACAAAGCTCTCTCAAAGCCACAGTGACATAGTCTACAGAGCATCGAAAACCAAGCCAATTCGTGCTGCAAAAGCGCCGTCATTGATTAGAAGCAGGACCCAAAAATGCATGGCTGATAGCTGTACGGGAGCCAACAATATTCACCTAAAGCAACAGAAGTCTGCGACCAATAGGAAATCCGAACGCTTGTCACAGTTCTTTCAAAGATGCCATGTATAAGAATGACATAATTAGCCTAATTTTAAAGGTTAATCAATCTCTTAACTTCCGTTGTTTCAAACTTAATTTAACAATATGTTAAAAATGACATGACGAAGCATTGTCCCATTCGCAGACCATTTTTTATTGTGTTAGTCCGGAGGCTATACAAGGTAATCAAACGATGTGTTTCCGACCGGGTGGATCCCTTCTTCTTATCATATGAATACCTAGGCTTTTCTACGAGTGTTTCAATGCAAGCACTATGATGAATGTACCAAAACGGTTTTCATTTTATCCTCACGCTCTATTTCCTTAATTCCATTTTATATCCAATGGGACTTTTCATGCACTGGTTTTAACCCGTAATACAATTATTCTTTTTGTCACAGCTTTAGCAACTCTGCAAAGTCTCTAAAATATGTACCAGTAAGCGTGCATAACCAAAGAAAATTAAACACCAATAATGTTTTCTGACGAAACCCCATACTTTTGCCAAGTGCATTTTAAGAGCGTCCAGATTAGCGTGACCAATGCCCATTCGAGTTTCCCTCCAAGCTAGTATACAATTCCTTCCCTGTCTTTAACAAGTTTACCAAACTGTCAGTTCTTCAAACAACCAATTGGGCAATGTCCCCCAATTTTACTGTCCAGTGTAAATTAATGGTGTTCCAAGGAATTGTAAGCCACTTTATGCTTACACGGAACACAACTAAAACGCAAACACATGACTTTCCTAAAATCACAATTCTGGCAGTTAGATCACGTGGATGCCTTAGCTTTGTTTAAGTAACTATGGTACATAGTGCGTTCACGCGATGCTGATTAAACCAAAGTTGCGATGTGCCAGTAGTGGTGTCTATAGTTTTTGTTTCAACAAACGTAGTGGTTGTTATGATGTTCGTCAACTGACGTAAGGAATTTAATAACATCGCAAGGCCCAAGTACCAGCTTTCAACTAGCTTGGAGACAAACAAGTTCTTTTGTTTTTGTCTTGTTTGAAAAGAACGCTCTCCATGAGTGTTTCATACCCATCTTGACGGCCTACCATAGTTAGAATAAAATCCACTCCCACGTAAAAACGAAAGGGAACGATGATATATTCCGGAACTGTGCTATATTATATCGGCCGAGGCTGTAATTTTAAACCCCACCATAAATTGGAACCAGTGTTTATCTCCGCCCTTGCTCCACAGATATTGCCTGCATGCTTGAGGTGTATTCGCCACAACTCGGGCTTTATCAATGCGTGGTCAATCGACCGTTTGCTAAATAAATTGGCATTGTGAAGCGAAGCGAGAGTTAACTAAAACTTTGGACATTGCAACAACTGTCAGTTTGGTTTTAATTGAACGTGGGATAGAATGCAACGATCTTATCAGTCAGTAAAATTGAATATATTTGTCATGCGAAGACAGTGATTATCTGACCGCATCATTCCAATCTGCCCAGTAAGCAAACTATTATAGTGGCCTGTAGTAAATCAAATTTTATTTGAATCCTACTTGAGAGATAACTGCAGTCAAATGGTTTATTTATGGTGTGCACATAAAATGCCCACCGGTGCCTCCTTCGTTTACTTGTGCAGGTAAGCCACTTTACGGTGCACTAGCTTGTCACACATAAATTTTTATCCCAGATCTGAGCCAACTTTAACATCTGCCTAACCTTCGGTAATGACGAGGTTGCGATAAGTCACCAGAGCTTAAATTGTTGGTTATATCATTATTTTCATGGTTTGTCATGGATGAGTGCCACGGGGCCATAAAGTTCCAACCAGCACTTCCGGTCGTTTGGAAACCAACAACATCCATTAGCTTAAGAGTGCATGACCTTTAGTTCCTGAAACTTAACTGTGTGTACATTTGAAAATAATAAAATGTTATCATGACTTCACTGGTAGGTTTCATACTTTCGAGAATAAACCATTTATTCATTTAATCTAATCGTTATCACGTACAATATATGCATCATATAATGAGCATTGCAACGTCCGAAAGGATCCAAGTGTAACACACCAGCAAACGATGAAAGGCCCCGAAAAGTATGTGAGCTTAACACGTGATGATAGACTTCCATCTAATAATGCTGTTCCACAAGTTGACAAAGTAAATCTCCCGGATCGTATCTAGCAATGTCAGCTAACCAAGGCATTCTACATGTTAGGTATTACAAAAGGTCACATCGTGTTGCACGAATTCTATGCTTGCCTCGAATATTTCCTCGCATGTACTTAAGCTGTAGGACGGCGCCGAAATTACTGATGGCTATTTACATATTGCAATACTTATCTACCAAAAACTATGAGGGTGAAGCCATCAGTTGTTACCCAACAAACTGGAATTTGGACAACGCATTTCATTAATCGCTTTAGTAGCAACAATCAGATCGTTCGAATAACAGCTGCGTACGTATGATGGATGATTGGGAGGCTAACATTAAGGATTTAAAGAACGACACGTTGCCGGCAGATGGAAAGATACAGGTATATGGGTATAACTCACGGTAATTATTGATGCCTCTCTAGAATATCTGACATTGCTATGGGTAGATCTCGGGAGTATTATTGTGCTGTCATCTGTCTAGCTAAGTGGAATACGTTAGCTCACTTATCATTATTATCCAACCAACGGTTTTCGATCAGTTCCACTAATTGAACCGTTCCACTGCTAGCTTGATATAACAAGCACACATAATCATCAGGCGCTGATCGCCACTGACGTTAAACTTCAGATTGGGCCCCGTAAACATTGGTTGAAAGGCACTGGCTTGTAGACGTGCGAAACTTCGCCGGCGGACATCCACTATTTGAGTAAGAATATAGATATTGAGTACACATGAAGCTAACGGGATGCATGCCACTCACTGTCAGATTTGTGTAAAGTAAAATTACCCGACCTATAGCATTCTGTTAATATTAGTTATTCTTACCCTGGAGATGTTCCTGTGGAATCAACGGATGACAGCCGGTGCTGTCCTTCTGGTAGTGTGAACTTCATCAAAGTGGTGATTTATGCACGTCCTTGAGTGTTAGATGAAAGTTTCAAGTGTTAGTAGCATAAACTCAAGTTGTGACCACAGCATATTACGTATTTTATTATTGCGCATCGCGCATCAACCATAGGAAAATTGCTGCAAGCAGAATAAATACGAAACTGTGAAAAATACTTCTGACATACCAATCTTAGTTGGCAGCTTAAATTTTGACTCACTTACTTTCGGTATAGGATAATTTATAACGTTTCAAAGCTATTCCTATGGATGTAATTGATCTGAAGCACAATGAAGGAACAGTAGAATGTAAAATTACAGTGCGCCCACGAATTGTTCGATATGCTACCCTGCCGATGATTTTATGATTGAAGGACTATATGCACACCTATTTTCATTAATTTTCAATTGCTCCTTCTTGTTGGTTTCAGGAGGCACAATTAATACAATTGCACCAGATCAACTTAATTAGAGAACAGGGGTCCATCATGTTTTTGGCATTCAGGCCACTTAAGTTCAAGATCAACAGACAAGAACCAACAGTTGCGAGAAATTAACGGTAGGCAACTACCATTCTTATCATAGATGCTGAGAAAAATGCATCAGCAATAAATGCTGAACACAATTTGCATCCTTGTGTCCTAGAACGAAAGCCCCGAAACTGTGTTTGCGGTTGAATCGTTCACTGCTTTGCGTCATGTTATGCCATATTGAGTGTGATGCTAATACGATATGTAACTTCCCGCAGGTGCAAAATGTTCAGTTGGTTTTTGCCGCTTCATCTTGTCACATCCGTTCTAGTTGTTACACAGAATAAGTCGGCAATTTGCCTACAGCTCCAAGGAAGGAAATTCAGCATGGCGGGGCCAAATTACCCTGTGTATATCAATCCGTGTGTGACTGCGCGGGTAGTTACACAGGCAGTATTGATAGGACTCCGACTTCCCGAATAAAGAAGCATATGTTGAGATGCGTTCAGCAGGCAATTGTCTAAACCCCGTATCACCTACAACATCCGTGCTCTTGTAGATTGATGACTTCCTCTATGGGTAAATACTTCATGTTCTCGGGTCACCGTATAGTGATTGGTTCCGCATTCAAATTTGTGTGACGGTACGCTAATTTCCACTACCTTCAGTTTTCTGAGGCTGTCGAAATAAACTGTATGCCACCAGCCCAACTATTTGTCAGGCTAAGGTTGACCTGATTGTAGTGGGTAACTTGCGTCACCCACTCTGCGCTCAGGTTTGTCTGCTCACACCCACTGTTACCTAGATCCATGCATATCGTTTATTTGTGGTACTGAGGAGAAGTCAAAAACGCATATATCTATTAACATTCGTCTTGTTTCCGTGCATTTCATTCACAATAAGCTTCATAGTAAGCGGAAACAATTATGAAAACACACAGTTTGCAGGGGTGTTACTTTAATCCGCCGATCTCTCCGTCTGGTTGGATATGATGTACAAGCAGTCGGAAATGATTATCCTTCGTTGCTTTGGACTAAAATCAGATATTAAAGTCTGAATTCAAGACCTAGTATCCACATAGCAAACTATCCCAAGATTCGTATTTCTACAGCAACATTACCATTAACAGAGAATATTCTGAATTAGCAATACCTAGGGAATGGTCGTGAACTACCCCTTCCTGTAAAACGTTATGGTATCACTGTCCTACGAGTAACAGCGAGCGGCTAACCATACATTTTACTCACCGATGTCTCCACATTAGCCGAACTAGTGCCAGTCGTTTCGCAAGTTCTGCTTTTTCTGACTCGGGCCGATTTTTTAGAAAAACCTTTGAACGTCTTTGTGACAATATTTGTGGGGACGACCGATTTTGAAATTATCGTTACATCCGAATACACATCGAAGTCACTTATTAATCCCGATTGCATTTGACTTGTGGTGAGGACTTCTGTGGACGAAGAGAGAGTAGCCAGAGGGGCAGCCTCAGAAAATTCCGCGCCGGAGAACTTACCGCTAACTTCATCTCCATGGCTGTGCTGTAAACTGTCAATGCTGCTCCGTCCCGAGTCTGTGGAGGAACAATGGGGCATCACCTTGTTTTCGTCATTGTTGTTCTCACAAAATAACCGGTTTGTGTTCATGGTATAATACAACAGACCAGCGCTTTTGCACGAATTCTAAATCTTTCCGACTCAGACCGCAGGGGGTATAAAGTTGTGTATCGTGACAGCATATCTTTGGTGTTATTCCAAGTACAAAGGAAATGCCGAGGTGGATCTTTGCCTAGCTTCTACATAGAAGGCAAACAGGTTGGGTGAGGCGAACATGATTTGCGACCCAGACCGTCGTCTAGAGACTGGAGCGATACATCCTGGTATTATCCCTAGAATGGAATGACTGCCACTCAAAATCGTGTCGGTTCGAATGAGAGAGATATACGCACGAACACACAGTGCGTGAGTGGATCCGCCGACAGACTTGTCTTCTGACAACCAATCAAAATGCCTTGCCCCGCAGCGTTGAGCCTCCTGTAACAATGTGTCCTGTTGTCCGCCAGCGCAATTCGATTTTGCAAGAAAATGACCAGCTGGACTGAAGAAAACTTTAACTGCCACTTTTTGAAACTCATCCGTCCAAAGTGCAAACTGTTGCCAGCAGCTGGCTCAACTGATGGAATTTTCCACCAACCAGCACAATGCTGGGCAAGAAAATAATTGTTTTCCGATTTTTTCGAGGAAAATAATCCAAGTGGCTCATGGACAGTAAAGTATTATTGCAATCCTGAAAGTAACTACATGTGGTTTGATTTCTCAAGCCAACACATAATGTGTCAATTTCAACGCATGTACTTCCCTGTTGAGCGGAATGTTTTCTCTTTTCGGTACCTATTATTTGTACACAGATGTGTCTGAAATGTTTCGCTTTTCATATGCTGCCTTAGCGAAGAAACGTACCGGTGATTGCAGAACTGTCACTGTGTTGCATAACACGTGTTTTTACGTGTCGCTAATTTGTGCGCACGGTTACTGGTGACCACAAATGAAGCTCATAATGATCAACGTATCGCAAATCCACTAACTGCCCTGTTACAGGTAATGCAACTGAGTAGTTACGCTGCGGGTTGGCGTAGGCGAAACAATCTCCTAAAAATCTTTTCGCGTCAGTCGGTGATAAGCCATGTACCTTTAAATGCAGTGAAATTTGTTCGGAGAAAGAAATACTAAAAGACGATAGAATGGACCTACGGTGTAACTGTATGCTCATCAATTGTTAAGTTAGCTAAGGAATGAGGTGCCCTTTGGAAATAATGTCTATTAGTAGGATTTCAGATAAGTAACAAAAGTTGCCCCTATAATCAGTATGTGAGTGGAAAATTATGCCTAGAACTCTCAACCAATGAGAAGGTTGATTATAGCGGAACGGATATAACTGCGAAATGGAGTCATCAGGGAGCAGTGGTACTGCTAAACGCAAGTCAATCTTTAGACCAATGCTGAGGATGATAAGTTGCTTTGTTCAGTCAATCTTAGTGTCTGTTGCAGTTCCAACATTAGGTTGGCATCTTATTTACTATCTGCAGACCTTGAGGACGATTGAGCATTTTTCGGGTTAACGTTTTCTTGAAACCTATGGAACCCCATCCCAGGTACCATCCGCATGTGTCATGTTGTGGCAAACGAATGTGTTAAAATGCATCGAAGCTGTCTATCGGCACGTTCGTATTCACTTTGACCACAAATTTTTCTTCTTGGTTCATAAACCATGCGTGGAAGTGAAAGGTAGTACGATACTACGGTTAATCAACCGTCTATAACCTTACTAAATATGCTTATGCAAATGATGTCTATGATGGATGGTAGCTGGTGTAAAACCAATTTTACAAACTACCAGGGATTTGTGTTTTGGGTGAAAACTTCTCTCAGTCAACTCACATCCGATCTGAAATGAATGTTTCGACGGCGAACTAAAGAGACGCCTTGTTTTTGTACGTTCATAAATGACCCACGAAATGTGGAGATGCTTACCCTGTCGACTAACTGTACCGCACTATAATGGACAATTCGTGGGTTATCACCACTTAGGAAATAACTACGTGCTCAGCAACGAGTGAAAACCATGTGTATCCGACAGATAAGTCAAACACATTTGGACCATTCGATAAATCCACACCGGCAGATGTTTGCTCACTACAATATTTACTCCTGATGCATGAGTGCAACCGTAGTAATCGAAGGATGGCGCAGCTCTACTGAAACAACCGAAACGCTGAGGAAAAATCACTTCACTGAACTGTCAAACGGTGAGATTTTCCGACCACAAGGAAATCAGATGGCTTATTCAACACCAGATTGTTATGATGTTCCCAATCATTATAAAATACTGTAATATACACTTCTACAAATGGATGTCCAAATACTGTTTGTCTTGTAATACTGAGGAGACTACTGTCCCCAAGGTCGGTAAAAGCTACTCCAATGTTGTTATGCAACGCAAGTAATATTATTACACATTGCAGTGGAGCTAAGGCACTAGGAATTATTTGATGAAATTAAGATATACAATTTTTTTAGTTATAATTATCCATTGAGAGGAAATTCTGCTCGTTATGAACAAATCGCCGTATCAGTACTTTTCCTTTTCAAGAAAACCAGGTCCGTAACAATAGACTGATTGGTATGAGGTAACAATTGGCGCAGTACACAATTGCTGGGGGGAGGAAAAGACTTAGCGGAGTTCAGTTTGGCCGCAACTTCAGACTGCGAATGAATGCGGATTCAGCATCAGACAGTCAAAATACCTAGTGGCAACACCATTCTTATTCCTACTATAAGTTAATCAATGTGGCGGTACTATCCACTTGACTTAATCATTGTACCTGGAACAGGGCGAATTCTTAGGTAACACCAAGAGTGAAAGTAATGAATATTAAGGCAGAAGAGTTGTCTGACTTGTTCTAGGGAAACCGTGGTCTTCAGAAATGGTAGCAGTGAAACCGAGTGAATCACGAATAATCCGTAGTGAACAGTTTAATCAACTTATGTGCGCAGAAAATTATCAGTCACACAATCAAGCTAGTTAATTTGTTGCTGTCCAGCGTCCAACTCGGTCACAAAAGCGCCATACACTTGTTCAGTGAGAAACGTGTAGGATTCTTCCAACGGTATTTCAATACCAATCAGGAAGAGTACGAGTTTACAATAGTTGGCTAAATAGTTCCGTAAGCGATAGGTAAAAATCCTCACAGTGGTATGTGATACATATATATATTATATATATATATATATATATATATATATATATGCATGTACAAAATCCTCTGTATTCGGTAAGTAGCTACTGTTGCGATTTCACTTAGTTATTAAAAACAAACAAGACTAAAGTTGCCAGTGGTTGAGTGACCGTACTCCTGCTGTGGGAGCACAGTAAAGTATTATTCTGAAAAGAACTTCGGTTCGATATCATTGTGTGAAACCACAAGGGATGCAGTCCAAAGAAAAGTACAGCGATCAATGTAAGTCAGCTTTATGGAGTATTCAATTATTCTTTCAGTAAATCGGTATTGACCTCGCTCAACAGTCATTTTACCGGATTCCATATCGGTACACACCATTGAGTACTACAAAATGGTTGGCAGTACGTATACTGTCTACGGTCTGAGTTGTGATTGACAGAGTAAGAAGGAACAATCAATATATCCAACGGTCTTCTTTCGTGCCTTTGATATCTGGAAACCACACTACTATATGAACTTGTACGTGTGCAAATATTGTAAACTTAGCTCGCGAACTGATGGGGATTCACAGATGTTCTTCCCATGTAGGGCAAGCCTGTGTGGTGGAATGTGAGACTTACACGATAAGATATTGCATTTACCTGATTCAAACGACATTTGCAAAAGGTATCTGAAATCGGTTGACTTTAAGTAGCCGGAAATGTGAAGTAGATTAACGCTGGTCGCACCAACTAACACGCTACTGATCGCAAGCGGTTTTTCACATGTTTGTATTCAAAAAAGCAATCGTACAGGAACAGTGACACGTAGCTGGTTTTGGTCTAGTGCTTCCATGTCCCAAAGGTAGCACTCCGACCTATTGTAAGCGCTCAGGTCTACCAGAGCACTAAACTAAGTGGTAATTGTGAATGACATGCAGATGCCAACAACGAAAATATAGGTGTAGACCAGAGTTCATAAGAGGCACTACCTATGATCTCCCCTTGTCTGAGGATACAACAGATGCATAGACATTCGAGTAATCCATGGTTTGATCTAAAATCTAGGAAGCACTTATGATAACCCTCAGGTGATTTTAGAAAAATGACTGTAGCAAATTTTCGAAGGCTTTATCTGAAACCCACTTCAAACATGTCTTCTTTCAGTGCTTTGATTTGTACAGCCCCGTTATAATGCATTTATAACAAACTTTCCACTCTTGGGCCTATCACTCCAAGCCCAAACTTGTACGTTTATCGTCGTGCCCTATGCTGTCGTTAAAGCACAAACGGCACATGGTGATACGGTCAAAATAAAGCTGTTCCGGCTGACATGTTGAACACCGAACTGATAAAAAGAAACGGTCTTTGGTTTGATTCCTTGCTGTGCTTTTTCTTCGGTGTTGACTGATCGTTTTTTGTTATACGGCTCTAGCCATATGACCCTGCAGAGTATGTCACACATTTCACATGTAAGAATTAGCTTTTATTGGTCCAGTTGTTGCAGGTGTACAACTGATAACTTCTTCGCGTGAATACTAGCCACACAAACGAAATTCAGCCGGCTCATAATGGTGCAGTCACACAGCTATTATGTTGGTAGGTTTGATGAAATCACCTTGCCGACAATGCTTTTCGCTTTTAAGGAGAAACTTGAGAAGGGACTGCTCATCATATATAAGGTTAATATGAAGCAGCATTTTCCAAGTATCTCTAACCATAAATGCTTTGAGCATCATGTTCGAGATAATGAGAACCCGGTGATGCACCAAAATATATCGAAGCAAATAAATCCGCACCTTGCACTACCCAGGCCTGAGCAAAGGATGACCTAACTGGAACGTCCGATCCTGTGTGTCATGAGGCGCGAACCAAATCGTCTCATACTTGAAGTGCTTATTGATTGGTTTGATTAAAATGATTTTGCATA